TTACCAAATCTCAGAGGAATTAAGCATCTGCCAAACATTTTTGATCAACAAAATCAAGCGTTAATCCTGTCCCATCTAGTAATTCGACCAGTAAATGCCATTGCAAAGAGCTTATTTTTAAAACTTATCTGTAATAATATGAAGAAACGTTGTAGAGACATTAGGTTATTTCGAAGCAGGAAAGTGAGTAAAATGATGAACGCACTCGCCGGGAATCGAACCACGGACCTTTAGAAAACGCGCCAGCCCACTACACTACAAAGGCGTGCTAAGAAGGCGGGTGAAATACCTTATAAAGTTAGCTATTTAAAAGTTATTATTTGTAAAGTTAGCTATTCTTTGTAAAAGGGTTAATATAAAATTTCTTAATCCAAAGGGGCTACTGCCCAGGAGGACTATTAATTTCTTTTTGCCATTTTGCGTTGAAACACAATAAATGTCGATTCACTTTTCAAAATACTGTTTATTTATTTATTTATTTATTTATTTATTTTTTATTTGGTGTGTGTTTGTTTTTCTATGGTGTCTAGTTGTTTGCTTGTGTGTCTCATTCCCTGCTTCTTCCTTTCTCTCTTACCCTAACAAATCATTTTTAGAACAACATTTTCATTTTTATCATTAGAATATTGTATTTTGTTTGGCGATGAAACACTATTAATGTCGATTATACTTTTCAAAATGTGTCATATGCAAATTCCCCCCATGGACGTAATATACAATATGATTGGGGATCGGGGGACGTGGGCACCATCCCTTTACCATTGCGGTTAATACTAGCTGTATATCGAAAACACTCCGAGGAATACATCCAAAATTTCCTACCCTCTTCCACAACTACCAACCTCTCGAACCTTTCTAGGAAAGCGTTCGGCTTAATTGTATTAAGTGTCTCTATACCATAAAGACATTATATACATTTACAGACACCCATGCTTTTTCCGGAATTTGAAACAGTCTGCTGGTTGCGCTACCACCATGCCAAACAGGGAAATTAACTTTATATATATATTAGTAGCCAGCAGCTAATCCAACAAAACATGTACCAAAAAATGGAACAGCCAACTAATAGTTTACGCAATACTTGCTGGCAAGCTGGATGCGTTGCCCTAATTCGTTCTCCTACACAACGACTATATTCATCTACTCGTAAAAGCTGAAATACACTGCTCGACATTGAAAATGCAACACCAGGAAGGAGTGGTCAGAAATTTGTGCAAATTTTAGAGTAGACGCATGTCATTGAGTTATGCGAATGATGTGAAATGCGCATCTCCCGACGCACGTGAAGTAAGATATAAGGGAAGAAACGTTCAGAATGCAAAATTCGGAATATTCTGTGGACGTGTGGGTTGTTTTTGCCCGGAGGATCCGTGTAAATAGAGGAATGGGCTCGAAGGGACTCCACAGATATACTTCGAAGTAGTGAACGAACGAAAGGCGGTGTGTCTCACGTTGGTCGCATCTGAACCCACTGAATGTGAGCACGATCGTCGCTATGCGAACATGTTGAACAGAAAGTGGAAGAAATAGGGTGCATGCAGCCAGAGTAACTTCACACACGTAATCACGCATCACCGCAAGCTGTGCGGTCCCGCAAGTCACTTGTACGCGATTCTGCAGCATTGCATGCAAGAGCCCCTGGATTCCCGTGTCGACCAAAACTTTCCTCGATTGGTTGAACGGGCCTCCACTCATAGACGCCACGTTTAAATGTGCCGGACGGACAATGTGATAAGCAGGCGAAACGTCGTGTTCTCAGATGAGTCACGCTCTGTTATCCATTGACGTCGCCGCATACTGTGTGGCGTCGAGTGGAGACAGATCTAATCCGCAGTACCGGGAACGCCCGACCGGGCGATAACGGGCATATGTTTGGGGGCTACTGCTACATTCCCGAAACTGTAAATCATTACAGACGCCTCTATGTGTACATTACATATTGTGTATTGAGCATATTTCCGCATAGCGCTTCTGCTTACGCACACCGTACTATGTCTCATAGTTTCTTATAATGCATATTTGTTTTATGTGCTTATGTGTTTCCGTATGTATTCTATTGCATGTTATTATTCTCGCGTGTGTTTTAGCTTTTTATGTTTAATTTTGTATATCAATTGTTTCAGCTTATTTGTGTTTAGTGTTTTAATCTATACTTATATTCTTTTAGTTACGTTGTTTGTAACACGTCCTTGTAAATCTACTTGACATTTATCCCCTGTATGCCATGTAACTCCCGTGCAGCCTCACGGGCCAGCGAGTTGCTTCTCGAGATGTGGAGGACGTGGACTTGCCTTTTACCTATGTTTACTCCAGACGTCCTCGTCCTCCGTCAACTGTCACCTGCCTGCGATTCCAGGTCACCTCTATTTGTATTCAGGCACTATGACGGCCCAACGATATTTGATATGTATTCGGCCGGTAGCATCCCCTACCTTCATGGGCTGCTAATCATTTTTCACAGATACGCCCGACCACCATTGCGCGCATCTGCCACATGCTCGAAGGATACAGAGCTTGCTGACCGCATACTCCTAACCGTCACCAATCGAACAGGTGGATTGATGGACCCGTTTGCCGACTCTGCCCCTCCTCGTTCGAGAGAACTGTAGCAATGGTAAAGGATGTAGCCATCTCTCGGACACATCCCACTCTTATTGACTCATGCTTAGACATGTTTCTTCGTGCATCGCTGTCCGCGATGGTCTTGCATCCTACTGAGTCGACGCCGTTCTAGCTCTGTATTCTGACCATCATTTTGAAATAAAGATTACTTATTGCTGCTTGCTGTCTCTGTCTTTTTTCCAAATTTCATCACTTTCTGACCACTCCTTCTTGGTGTTGCATTTTCAATGTCGAGCAGTCTATGTTTCTACATTCGGTTTCAGCGACGTAAAAAAGGAGTTTGTAATGAATGATCACGAGACTGAATATGTAATATACCCTTATCATTGGTAAGTTATAATAACGATGATTTTAATGGAACTGTCATTGTAATTAATTCCGCTACATATATGTAATAATAAAGATATTTTTCAAATCTCCTATATCCACATGAATAATGCAAGATTAAATGCCTTTTTAAGTTTTTTCTCCTCACTTTAATTTAGCAGATAACTATTTTTTGGTCCCTTCTTAAGTGTTTTTATAACTACAGGAAGCATCCTATTTTTAAGAAATAAACTTTCTTTTAATAATAAAAAGCAGCACGTCTTGCACCAATATTAATTAAAAAAACCAAAAAAATGCTGATGTTTAGAAATAGCTGGGATCTTTTCAATTAAGTAGCTCCGTGATCTGGAAAGGAAATCCCTCTTGACTGAATTTGTAAAAATATTTAAACTTTTTTTTGTACGAAGTTCTGTTTCATTGGTGAGTTCGAAAGCGAACATAAAGATCTAATTTTTAAATGCTAATTCACTCTTTCTGGAATGTGTGAATGTTTCAAAAGGCTCAAAGGCTGCAGTAAAACAAATTAATGGCTTCATTGTTTTTATGAAATGGCACAGAAGATTCTAAAAGCATTGACACTATGTAACTAATTTTTTAAAGAATTTTTTAATGCAGGAAAAGTTAGAAAATACTTGAAATTTGATTCTTCGATTTCCAGCTTTGCACGAGGAAGCTGACATAAATTTGCGTTTTTGCAATTTAAAATTTCCAAATTAATCAAAATTTTAAATGTACGTTTTATAAATCCATTTACTGTAATGAGAAATATTTACCCGTATATATAAATAGGAAGAAAACGAATTTATCTCGACCTATATGAATAAGATATGCAAGGAGAAAAAATTCTGGAGTCTATTTTTTCTAGATGGAAAAATGTTTTAAGCAGTTTAATTACCTTTTAAATATCCATTATTTATTTAAATTAAAGCTGAAAAATTTTCAATTCTGGCAGCTATTCCATGCTATTAATTGTATATAAAATTCAAAATTTATGCCTATGGTTGAGATTTTCCTGTATCTGGTACTAATTTTTGTCCAACGCAAATGCCTGTATAACCGAGTACAAAATTACTGCGATGAACAAAATTATACCCGTGTAACACAGAACAAAAATTGGTACCTGTTTAGTACTAATGTTTATATCACACAGATGCCAGTATAATATAATTTTTGTCCAACGCAGATACCTTTTTAGTTCCCCGTATCATCTTAATTGGGCGATTCCAATGTTGTTGTCTATAATGAACCATTTTAAGACCTTATTTCAATACATTTTAAGTTTAGACCTTTTTAGAGTTTAGTTAAAAAGGGCATTTTATCGAAGTAGTGTTGAGAGGCAAAAGCTTATATCAAATTATTCAATTAGGCATTTAATCATTCAATTAGGGAAAACCTTATTTTAAAATCATTTTCGATTGAAATTCGCAAAAACGCTCATTGCAAAATTTATTAGTAATTAGTACCAAAATTTAAATAAGTACAGTAAAATTTTGTTGTTTTAGCCCAGTTTTTAATATATTACTTAGAAAAACATGCAAAATTTTAGATCTATACCATTAAAAATCTTTTAATATATAAAATAAGCAAAGGAAATGCAACGTAGAAAAATGTATTAATGCATAATGAAAATGAGTACAGTTTGTAGCTATGTAGTACCTTAAAAAGTATGTTAATTTGTATTACAATAGGTTATTCCGTTAAAAATTTGTGAAATAAGAATCTCTGCACCTTGGAATTCACAAAACAGTTGCTCTTGGCAAAAATATCTTTTAAATTTAGTTCAAAGTTTTTAAGCAACAAAACGAAAATAAATACCTCGAACTTGAAAAATAAATATCGGCAGTTTCATAAAATATCAAGCATTAGTTCGAACTCCGAAAACTTATTGCAAGTTATTAAGCTTCAAGATCATTTCTTTATGCAGTTTCTAATATCTAATTTATTTTTGTACTTTTCGAACGGTGATTAACGTGTGCACAAAATGAATGCTTTCAATTTCATGGTAATATGTAATTTATAAAATTAATCATTGAGTGCATTTGTCTTTCCAGATTATCGTACCGGCCCATGTTTTAGGAAGGTAAAGAATCAGTTCTGTGCTGGTCAATTAACTGGAGTCGTATGCACTAGACAACTGTGCTGTGCAACTGTGGGAGTTGCTTGGGGACATCCATGTGAGCAGTGCCCCTCCCAACTGGATTGTGAAAGAGGCTTAATTACTAACATACAATCCAAATCCTGCCATGGTACGTATGGACTTTTTCATAATCATTTAAAAAGAGTGAATAAATATTATGAGGAAAATTCTAAGAGCAATACTTTCTAATGTTTTGCATCAGATATTTAAATTATAGACAAAGTAAAACGTAAACAGTATACATTAGGAAATTGTTAAATCATAGTTATTGTTCAACATAAGAACCAATCTTAATGAAACATTTCTTGCATCTTAATACTAACTCTTTTTTGCTTGTTACGTTAGATCTTGAAGAATGATTAGACTTCTGCCGAATCGAAACTTAAGTCCGCGTAAATCTTTTCAAAGCATCAAAATGAAATTCCACATATTTGCAACTTTTATTTCTAACCGCTTGGCCAGCTTATAAAGTCTGTGCCTCTTTAGAAAACATAAACTTTTAAAAGTACTCTTGAAGAATTATCTTCTATCCTTTGTGAAATTAAAACAGAGATCAGAAGAAGGGTGTATAAGACCCTTTTATTCGAACATACAATTAATAAATGGCCCAACTTGGGTTACTGGAAGCCAACACTTCTGGCTTAACAGAAATACGTAACAAATATTAATTTAAAGGTCTAGTAGGTTAGCTTAACATATCACAGAATACTTTAACGCGCAGGAGGAGCTCTGATCTGTAGTATCCGGCGAGATAGGCCTGAAGGAGAGAACCCATCAACGCCGCTAAGTTACTAATAATCACAGTACAACGAAGCCTGGAATAGTCAGACGTACTAAAACTAACTTCCAAAACTCTTGCTTAAATAGCATTTCATTCAACACTTATCTGAATAACTCTCGCTATCTCATTTACATTTGGGCATGAAAGGAGTGGATGAAAAGAGAGTACTAGGAAATTATTTTCAACTTAAAATGAACTATTAGTTAAAAATAAATAGATAAACCTCACAAGCTCAAAGATTGCAGATTATTGGGATATTGAATTCTAGACGAGTTCTGCCTGTTCCGGTTCGTGCTTCTTTTAGAAGCTTTTCAACTTACCAAACAAAATTTTTCTGCACTGTAATTACAAATTAATAGTTTGTCAACTTGCAATCAGTTATTTGCAAATCCTCGATCGAAGCAAAATTACAGAGCATATTTACTCATTTTAGAACGATCTGGAGGCCGTTTAATTAATTTCACATAGTATTTTTTTTTATTTTCGATCTAACGGCCTTTATCTCTGGACTGAAAGTCTGCATTGTGATTTTCATGACAGAAGGATTTTCTCGTAAAATTTCCAGGGATATTGATTCCTCATTCCTCTTCCACCACGAGCGCCCATCAATCAGTCGTGGTGAGTTTGCGCTACCCTCTCAGCATTATAGACGTAAATTCGTATAGAAGGGTGGCTTTCGTATTCATTACACATGAAAATTTCTGCCAGACTTTAATGTATCCGATTTCTGGTTGTATGTATATTGAAAAGAAAGGAATCATGGTACAACGTCAGTTGTAGTCATTTATAAATCATAATAAAAAAATCCATTTATTCATTACATTTTTTAAAAACTTTGAAATTTCAGCTCTAAATCCGAAACGTTCGCAGGTTTAAGTCTGTGGGTGTAATGTCAGCTAACTGTACAGGAATACATTCATATGATACATGCAATACATGTATCAGTAATCATTGTTTTAACGAATGAAGTTTATATTCGAATGCGTGTATTTTCAATTATGGACTGTATTTTCGAAGTATAATTAGTTGCTTTGTCTTGATGAAGTTTCATTCTTAGAAAGTCATTGGTATAAAGAAATTGAATTTCTTCTGTGAACATTGCAAGTAAAACTTTCTCTTGATAGTGTGATTTTGATAGTTTTTTTTACATTTCTTATTTTTAATTCCGCATTGTAAGAGAATTTCTATGACAATCATTTAACCCCTTACTGAAACTTTCTTTGCATTGACGGAACCAGGTTGTACGTGTAATAAATAGAAATTGTTTTCGTCGCAGTCATTTAGGTGAATTCATGCTTCATCAAGGGTTACAATGTATTTCCATTTGTTCATATTAAATAGTTTTCTTACGGGTTTCTAAAATTGTTCTACAATAAGCCACATGCCTTGGCTAAAGCTGGTGAAACTTTTGAACGAACGATTTAACTTTAAAAACGTTAGAAACAGAACGTAGCTTTTTTAGGAGTTTGGAGTCTTCTTTCCGTGCACGAGTAATGATCGACGGTTTTTTCATATGCGATAATAAAGCCGCTTATTTTGAACTTAAAAATCTGTAGCACATTTCACAGCGTTTTTGGGTTATGGAATAGGAATGTCTTTCTTCGGAATGCGTAAAAACATATCTCTCAATCCCAACTTGTTCATAGGCGAAATTTTGAAAGGAAAATAAATTTAAAAGTAGCAGATGATATTTCTCATTTCAAATAATAAGCTGTTCCAGAAATCTTTTAATCCAAAACGTTTCCTTTTTTCAATTCTTTATCAATATTGTTCAAAAAATGGCCAAGCGTCGTCTGTACTCTAACTTACATTTTGATCTTTTCTCATAGAATATCCTTGTCTTGTAAGGCTTTGTAATATTTATTGAAAAATTAAAAGATGTAATGTTTTGGTAAAAGAAAAAAAAATGGCATTGCCAAAAAGTCATAAAATTTGTATGACACTACTACACTACCCTATTAGTTAATAATGTTATTAATCATCTAATTAATGACTCATAATTAAATAACTGTAAACTAACATAACTCTAAATAAATATTTCTTTGATGAATTCAGTGCTAAATTTGACTTTCATCTACCGTAACAAAAAATTATTTTCTAAAGACTCGTAACACAAAATTATAGAATACTTGACCATAAACAAATGCTACGTACCGTAACAACACATATATTACTTTCTAAAGCAGATGTAAACACATTATGAGCTACTTCGTCAATCAATAATCCATAAACAATCATAATGCAGCATGTATTATAAACCATTATACGACTACTTCGTCAATCAATAATGACCATAAACAAATGCAGCATGTTATTATAACACATTATTATACGCTCAATCAAATGACCATAACAAATGCAGCATTTTATTATAACACATTATTATACGACCATAAACAATGATGCAGCATGTTATTATAACATACGCTACTTCGTCAATCGAATAAACAAATGCAGCATGTTATTATAACACATTATTATACGCTACTTCGTCAATCAATAATGACCATAAACAAATGCAGCATGTTATTATAACACATTATTATACGCTACTTCGTCAATCAATAATGACCATAAACAAATGCAGCATGTTATTATAACACATTATTATACGCTACTTCGTCAATCAATAATGACCATAAACAAATGCAGCATGTTATTATAACACATTATTATACGCTACTTCGTCAATCAATAATCCTAAAAAAACAAATGACAGGCATGTTATTATAACACATTATTATACGCTACGCTCAATCAATAAATGCCCATAAACAAATGAAGCATGTTTATTATAACACATTATTATCTACTTAGTCAATCAATAATGACCATAAACAAATCAGCATGTTATTATAACACATTATTATTATCGCTGACCATTCTTCTCCTTCAATCATAATGACCATAAACAAATGCAGCATGTTATTATAACACATTATATACTTCGTCAATCAATAATGACCCATAAACAAATGCAGCTGTTATTATAAACCATTAATGATCCTCTATCCTACTCATAAACTAATAGATTGTATTATACACCATTATTTTATTCGTAATCAATAATGACCATAAACAAATCCGACTTTTCAATAATTCTAACACATTATTATCTACGTATTCGTCATCAATAATGACCATAACAAATGCAGCATGTTATTATAACACATATTATACGTATTCGTCAATCAAAATGACCATAAACAAATGCAGCATGTTATATACATATTATATACGCTACTTCGCAATCAATAATGACCATAAAACAAAGCAGCATGTTATTATACACACTTCTAACGCTACTTCGTCAATCAATAATGACCATAAACAAATGAGCAGTTATTTAACCACAATTCTACGCTACTCGTCATCAATAATGACCATAAAAAATGAGCATGTTATAACACATTATTATACGCTACTTCGTCAATCAATAATGACCATAAAACAAATGCAGCATGTTATTATAACACCACTACGCTACTTCGTCAATCAATAATGACCAATGTTATATAACATTATATCGTCAAGCATGTTATTTGTAACAGCATGATTTATACGCTACTTCGTCAATCAATAAGACCATAACAAATGCGCATTTTTAAACTTATTATACGCTACTTCGTCAATCAATAATGACCTAAACATGCAGATGTTATTTAAACATTATTTATACGATACTGCCATAAACAAATGCAGCATGTATTTACACATTATTATACGCTACATTAAATCAAAATGACCATAAACAAAAGCATGTTATTATAACACAATATTATACGCACGTCGTCAATCAATAATGACCATAAACAATGCAGCATGTTATTATAAACATTTAACTCTACTTTTCGTCAATCAATAATGACCATAAACAAATGCAGATTTATTATAACAATTATTATACGCTATTTATAAACAATAACTTCATCAATAATGAAAACAAATGCATGTTATTATAAAACACAATTATTATACGCTACTCGTCAATCAATAATGACCATAAACAAATGCAGCATGTTATTATAACACATTATTATACGCTACTTCGTCAATCAATAATGCCCATAACAAATGCATGCATACGTTTTATTATACCACAATTATTATACATTACTACTACTTCGTCAATCATAATGACCCTAACAAAATGCGATTTTTATAACACATATTATACGCTACTTCGTCAATCAATAATGACCATAAACAAATGCAGCATGTTATTATAACACATTATTATACGCTACTTCGTCAATCAATAATGACCTTAAACAAATGCAGCATGTTATTATAACACATTATTATACGCTACTAGTCAATAATCTACA